AACGATGTAACTAAGTACGATCACGTGGTGCATTCTCCTTTTAACGATGTAACTAAGTACGATCACGTGGTGCATTCTCCTTTTAACGATGTAACTAAGTACGATCACGTGGTGCATTCTTCCTTTTAACGATGTAACTAAGTACGATCACGTGGTGCATTCTTCCTTTTAACGATGTAAATAAGTACGATCACGTGGTGCATTCTTCCTTTTAACGATGTAACTAAGTACGATCACGTGGTGCATTCTTCCTTTTCGTTTAATCGTCGTTCATGAAAATATTTTTTCAGAGTAAATTTAGATATACTTAGGTCTTATAATTAGTTTTTAATAAATATTTCATTGAAACTACTATTTATTTTATACTCACTTTAGTTTTTCAATAACATTTGTTGACTCATTATTGAGGTATTCTAACTTGTTGTTTCTTATTAGGTTTCAGTTTTTATTAATTGCACTCCGTTTCTGTTTCTATTAACGTTTTTTTAATATCATTTATTCAGGTTTATTTTATTATTCTAATTTTTGTTCGTCTTTTCGACCTTCTTTTACTAACTTTCTGTTTCTCTCTGACTGTTTATATGTCATGAATCTTTTATAAGTCATTCTTATTTACTCCTTTTTATGAGTAAAGAATTGTAAACTACACAAAATATACAAAAATTATGTAATTCATAAAACATAAGTAAAAAAAAAGAAATTAAAATGTAATGTAAGGAACGATTATAAGAAACAGATGCAGAAGAATGAATTCCAAGACATTTTTTTCTTCTATTCTTAAAAGCAAACAATCTACAGGAAACGTTACGATTTTGCACATGTTTTATTTAATATTTGTTTTTTTAACATTAAGCCTAATATAAGAACAAGTCTGGAACCTTATATGTGGTGTGTACAATATTATTGACACACAACATGATTTATGCTTTTATTATGTAGATCAATATTTTATCTGCAACCATTTCATAAACATCTTTAGACCAACCTCACAGTTGATTACAACAAAGATACTAACTAGTTCATGTAACTTTAACAGCACTCTCTAAACGGGAAAGACTTCCACAAGGTTGTTTAAAAGTCACCATCTAACTGATTCAATTCAAAACTGAAACATCTCTAATTGCAATTACTTAAAGTTAGTAACGTCACTCGGAAACTGAGGGGTATTTAATAATGTGGGGAGTTAGCACCATTCTTAAAATTGGCTTAAAGTGTTCCTTAATTATTTTTATTCATCAAAGAAATAATGACTTTACTGGAAGATTACGCTGATGCTTTCTACACGGCATTGGTGGTAACCATAGACAATCGATCTGTTTAAAAGGTTTTGCATACAAGTATTTTCAACTTACAAACTTATCGGTTTTATTAATTAAAAAGTCTTATTTCAAATGAATAAATTTATAATGAAATAACTGTTGTTCCGTGACTTTTAAGCTACCTTGTGTACCTACAACATCATAACGTGTAAGTTCTAAAATAAAATTCCAACAGCACAACACACCGAAGACAACAACGACTAAAGCAGTAAACTAAATCTCCTACAATTATCTACATAACTCTGATATACAAGTAGCTACATATAAAACTAATCATAAAAAAGGAAATTATTTGTAGGTTATCATGTGATCAAAACTTGACTTAATCATTCTAAGAAATTATTTATTGTTACTGCCTTTTATTTGGCTTCCAGAATATATTTCTTCAGCAAAAGATATCACTACTTTATGGCATTTTTCAGTTGTTGTTAAAATACGATCTCTAACGATCTGCTACAATAACTTTTTAGCTCAATGAATCAAAAAATATGATAAACGACTTTTTGGTAAAGCTAAGAAAGAGTGGTTTGTACAAAAGTACTTTGATGGACTGAATTAGTACAATTTTACACCAAAGTTCTTTAATGGATTGAATCAATAGAAGTCAATATCATTTTGATAGTTAATGTCCAATACTAGATTTAATAAACAGACTAAATGGATAAGGGTTAATATCAAATACTTTTGGTAGACCGAACATACAAAAATTAACATCAGACATTTTTCAAAGACTAAATGACCAAAAGTTAATATTCGATTAACTGGAGGAACAAAAAAAATTATTTGATAGCTTTATATGGACAAGCTGCAAATTGAAAGATCTCCTGAGCATCTGGAATACCAAAAGATGATTTGAATTCTCTGATCTTTCAAAAGACCAATGAACAGTATAGAATTATATTATAAGTTGAAAGGAACCAAAACTATTATGCGGCTTTCCGATAGCTAAGAAGAAACAAAGAAAATATGGGATCTTTGGAAGCCCCAGAAAACAACTTATGAAATAATCTTATAGACTAAAGAGAATCAAAAGATGGTACAGGCCTTCTGATGGGCTGAACAGAACCAGAGACATTATGGGTTTTCTGAAAGATGCAACCAAACTAAAACATTACGAAGGTCTCAAGCAGATGTTATGAGGCATTCCGTTGAATATGAAGATAAAAATAGATAAAATAACAATTTGAAAAGCTTTTATGAACATTTTACTGGAAAATAATTAAAGAGAGTAAATGAACTTTGTTAATAATTTAGAAAGACACTATTTGTAGTTATCATTTGTGCATGTCAAAGCAATAACTCTGTGAATTCGAATACAAAAACGTTAAGGTGCAGTATTATAAAAATGGTTGATCAGTAACAATTTATTACCAAAAATATAAGAGTATCTCATGCATATAATGCATAAACAACATTTCAAATATCCTTAATAAAATATTCTAGACAGCCTAGGAATAAGAATGTTGCAACCCAGCACTGACGTTTTGCAAAAAAAAAGTGCCATTTCGGCGATTTAAAACAGTATAACGTACATATTAGTTACATTTGTTTTAAATACTTTATCCTTTTTCAGCACTTTTGAACACTTTATAACATATGTAATTGACAAATTCCCAAATATTACTATTACTATCATCATTATATGAAAAACATTGGGAACATAAATAAGTGAATTCCTACACTACATTAAAAAATGCTGACTTGCTTACCAGAGTAACCACGCTTTATTTACGTTTTTTGTATTAAAAAAAAAGCCTTGGATTTTTAGAGAACATAATATAGCATTCTTAAAAACTGAGATTCTCACGTGGCTCATTTGTACATTCTTTAGCTTCTAAATAAGTACTAATTCTCTCGATGAATATTATAAAAAAAACAAAAAACAACCTTCAACACCAAAACGGGTGTATCGAGTTTTCTAAAATTGGCAGAAAATTAGTGAAGGAAACTGATATTATTAAAAAAAAAAAGCGGTAAGTGGAAGGAAATAAGTTATATTAATTGTTTTGTTAAGTAGAAGTAATTATTACTCACCTTGAAATGGAAATTAATTCTAATATTTTTTTCATTTGTA